TTTCACATGTGTATTTCTTGTGACAAGACCTTTCTTTGGGTATCATCATATTTGACCTTTTGACCTTGACCTTTGAGTTTGACCCAGTTCTGCAAAATTTTACCGAACTTTAACATTTGCCATAACTTTTGAAGAATTGGTGCTAGGGCTTTCATACTTCACATGTGTAATCCTTGTGACGACAAGACCTTCCGTTGTGTACCAACAACCTTGACCTTTTCACTTTGACCTAGGAGTTTGCCCTACTTTTTAGAAACTTTAACCTTGGCCATAACTTTTGAAGTGTTGATGCTAGGGCTTTCATACTTCACATATATAACCCTTGTGACAATACCTTCCATTGGATATAAACAACTTTGACCCTTTGACCTTGACATAGGAGTTTGACCTACTTTTGAAAAAACTTTAACCTTGGCCATATCATTTGAACGGTTGATGCTAGAGCTTTCATACTTCACATATGGAATCCTTGTGACAAGATCTTCCTTTGGATACCAACAACTTTGACCCTTTGACCTTGGAGTTTGACCTACTTTTGGAAAACTTTAACCTTTGCCATTACTTTTGAAGGGTTGGTGCTATGGCTTTCATATTAAGAACATGTCTATTACTTGTGACAAGATCTTCCTTTGGATACCAATAATTGTAATCCATTGACCTTTACCTTGGAGTTTGACCTACTTTTAAAAAACTTTAACCTTGGAAGTAATTTTTGAATGATTGATGTTATGTCTTTCACATTTCACATGTGTATTTCTTGTGAAAAGGTCTTTCCTTGGGCACCATTAATTTTGACCATTTGATCTTGATCTTGTTTTTTGTTTTACTTTTGAAAAACTTTAACCATTTCCATATTTATTCAATGGTTGCTGCTAGGGCTTTCACGTTTCAAAGATACATTTCTCGAGACAAGACCTTACATGTACTTTGGGAACTAACATATTTGATTTGCATTTGAGAAAGTTTAACCTTTGCTTTACGTTGCCATACTGGGGTATCAGTGTTTCACAAACACATTTTCTTTTTTTGGATTTAGTGGTAAAATATTTTTATGCCCCCGTAATCGAAGATTCGGGGTTTATAGTTTTTGCCCTGTCAGTCTGTCTGTCTGTCTAGCTGCCTGTTTGTCCGCAAAAACTTTAAACTTGCCCATAACTTTTGAGTGGTTGGAGTCATGGCTTTCATATTTCACAGGTGTATTTCTTGTGACAAGACCTTCTTTTGGGTACAAAACATATTTGACCTCTTGACCTTGGAGTTTGACCAGCTTTAAAAAAAATTGCATAACTTTAACCTTGGCCATAACTTTTGAACAGATGGTGCTAGAGCTTTCCTTTTTCACATGAGATTCATCTTGACAAAACCTCTCCATGGGTGTAAATATTTTTTACCTTTTGACCTTGACCTTAGAGTTTGACCATCTTTTAAAAAAGTTTAACCTTGGTCATACCTTTTGATCAGTTTTTACTAGGGCTTTCAAATTCTTTGTCACAAGACCTTCCTTTGAATACCAACAATTTTGACCTTGGCGTTTAACCTAATTTTGAAAAACTTAAACCTTTCCCATAACTTTTGAACAGTTGGTGCTAGGACTTTTATATTTTGCATGTGTATTTCTTATGACAGGGTCTTCCCCTGCGTACCATTAATTTTGACCCTGTGACCTTGGAGTTTGACCGACTTTAGAAAACATTAACCTTGACCATAACATTTGAATGGTTGGTGCTTGGGCTTTCATACTTACTAGGTATATCCATTGACACAAGTCCTTTCTTTGAGTAACAATATTTTTGATCTCTTGACCTTGGAGTTTGACTTGCATTTGAGAAACTTTAACCTTTACCATAAGCTGCATCAGTGTTTCACAAACACATCTTTTTAGACAGTAATGCAAGAGGGGGGGGGGGGGTAGATTACCTGGATTTTATTGCTGCATCAGTAAAACTTTATATATTCTCCGACAAGGGATCAGATTGAAATCACTAAAATTCGCTCTATTTAGAATGGTAAATAATATGTTTCATAGTGCAATTAATCTTTCATAAAATATATGTAATAGAATTTTATTACAGAAATGAAGGGGTGGGTGGGTGGGTGGTGGCAATGGGATAATGTAATAAGTGAGAGTTCATTTTTGACACCATGTGTTCATTAAATAACAGAAATCTACCTACAATCTGGTAAAACACAGGTAAAATCCCATCGGATATTAAATTATTTTATGATTACCCTGTTCCTTGTTACCGTCTTCCTTGGAAGACGGTATACAGAGTTGAAGTATTTTACAGTCTTCGGACTATGCACTTCCTCTCTTTTGTGATTGGTAGAAATTGCATGATGAGAAAATTTTCAATTATTTCATTGGTTGAAATGCTGTTCAAGGCAATGGAGATAATTTTCTGATGATCTAATTTTCGTACGACTTAACAATTTTTCAAGATTTTCAATCGTAAAAAAATATGACAAAACGAACAGTGGAAATTGGCTGTAATTAATTCGAAATAACATGCTAGTTTTTTTATGACAATTACCAAAAAAAAAAAAGATTCTATATTTTCATTGTTAACAGAATTGATCTGTATTGCATACAAGCTTTACAGCTTGTATGTATTCTTTTTTCCTTGTTTGCACTGCCTTTCTAATTTCTGCGACACTCGGCACACCTCGGCCGATTCGCACCTCATCTCACAAAGGTGACGGAATCAGTCGAGGTTTGCCGAATGATCTCGGCAGCAGAGTCGAAGTTTACTCAGACAGCTGAGGCCTGTCCAACAGAGCGAACGTTCGCGAGCGCTCGCCTAAATTCCTTATTTTTCCAACAGAAATGTTCGCGAGCGCTCGCGAAAGTTCGCTCTGTTGAACAGGCCTCTAAGCATGTTAACCTTTCACTTGGTAGGGCTTATGTCAGAAAAAAAAAAACAAAACAAAAAAAAAAAAAACAAAACAATGAAGAATATACAAAGCCAAGAAATTTTCATGAATTACAGCCTGATAGGTTTAGGTCAGTTTACTTTTTAAGGTTGTTGCTAGAGACGGTAAGCTTTTTGAAAAAGCTCTACTTGTTTTAAAAATAAGTTGTTAATGCTGGGCTTGCGTAAAATATAAAAACAAAGGCGTATTATGTTTCCGGATTTGAATTAAAGTGCCTAAAAAGTGCCTAAAATAGTTATAAATTGTGAGAAGTTTAAGAAGAAGGTAATATTGTTTTGAATACAGTTGCAAATGACACAATGATTTTTTTGCTCACTGGTATTATCACGTGACAAAGATCCAGGGTATCAGAACAAGAAGTTTGTATCAAAGGCACTTGTTTCGTATACGGGGCACCCCTACTTATTTTTACCACAAGTACCTAACTCAATTTCAGGCACCCCCGCTTCAAGCTCGTATTTTGTTTATATATCAATCATTAACCTACTTTAAAATGACATCGTTCGCTTCGAAAGACTTTTTTTCTTGTCAAATTAATCGTTTCGGACGTCTCTGGTCGAGCCTCTTTATTGTAAACCACTCATTTCTTCCTCGAAAATTATCTCGATACAAAATAAGACTTTGAATCGGATACATTGACTTCCGGTTGGGTTATAAATGAAGGATAAAACCAGAGACCTCGTATATGAAACAAGTGCCTGTGGTTTGTATGTCCTTTTTGTCAGTTTTCACATACTAGTATTCGATTATAATAATACACTTTTAAATATTTGTTGCTTTAATTAAATAATTTGATGAAAATACAATCCTATATCCTTTATCTCAGTCCGATTTTCATTTCCATGAATCAATTTATTTTTGAATAATATTAAATAATTGATAACTGAAAATTAAAGTATTAAAAAATGAAAGCTACCTCGGCCCAGTTGTATACAAGTTAATGAGATCATTCTTTACATCAAACCCTAGCGGCAGTTGAGAGGCCTTAAAATATGTTGACGTTGGGACCGTTGGGGCGGGCGCAGTTGTGTTTTATTTAATATGTTTAACATATGTTGGTCACTTTATAAGTTTACATAATATGTTGTGGTTTTTATTGGGGGGGGGGGGGGGCAGAAAAACCAAACTTTTACATGTGATGAATACCAAAATCATTCAGACGACTTATATTTATATGTTGTCACGTCCAAATGAACGGCTACATCATCTTCAGACATCATCACTTTCCCAATTCCATTAATCAAGAATTGCAGATAGAATCATCAGGATGAAGATTAAACATAAATAATTTCTGATGCAAACAAATTGTAGAATTCACTTCGTCTTATCTGGACATAGTTATTCATATGTCACGAAGATAAAGTCGGGAGTTTCTATTGATGCCGTGCTAACCAGATGTATCTGATCTAATGTCCTAGAGCCTCACTTTCTATCTGAATGCAACAAATGGAAATAAAAGCAGCAAAACATATATATCTCTATTATTAATAAACTTTCTGACGGCAGAAAATGAAATGAAGGTATCTCTTAAATCCGAGTTGAAAACGCATTTCTTTGAAATTTCCTAGTTCATTTGATGTATATTTCATCACCGTAAGAAATGGTTTGCATTCACTATAATTTTGGTCGATAAATAAAGCTAAGGGTGGGCGAGACTTAGATGTCATGTTTGCACTCTCAAGAAGTGTCTGCATGAGTTTAAATCTGAATCCTCGAAAATCAGTATTAGGTTGGTTTACATACGTTTTATGAGCAGAAGTAAGGAATTTTAAGTACCATAACCTTCGATCAATACCAGATTCTGGTCGAGATGCGCCACCTGTTCTGTCTGTCATTTGCAATTGGCCTGTACCCCAGACAAACTTTCTGGCTGGATGATTGTGGTATGTCAACACCAGACAGGAAGACGTCATCTTAAGAGCTGACCAACGAGGTGTCCGAATAAACAGACAAAAATAACTCCGAGAGGGGAGGATCATTTCCAGACATCACATTGGTGGCTTACAGAATTCCCAAGTAATTGTATGTTTGCCTTCCTCCCTCCCCTCAAAAAGATTCAAAGACAAGTGTTTCATTATAGATTTTAGATACAAATAAAAATAAAGAGACATAACAAATATAAGTTAAATATACAATAACAAAATGTCCTCATTGTTCAAACTTCGGGCAGGAAAAGAATTCTATACAACAGATAACAAAATACACACTAGTAAACACTGGTACAACTTCCACACCACACAATAATTATGCTTGTATTCCTTATGAAATATGATGGGGATTATCTGATGATAAATGCACTGTAAATCTTCACAATTCCTAGATTTCTGTCTATTTATCTTTTGAATCTCAATAGAATGACTGTGTAATTGGCCGGTAAACATATTGCCATTGGGAGTTCTTTTCATTACACAGCGCTTCTCTTTCATGTTTGATTATTTCCTATTGCATTTTGCGACATCTATAGAAAAAGAAATGTCGTTCCAGACAAACCGATCGCTACTGTCGCCATCTCAAATAATCACTTGACAAATACCAGATTTAAGTGTAATAAAACCACACAAACTTTACATAAATCTACTGGCCAATGATAAAACTCTGTCGATAATAGCATAATTCGCCATTAATAATGTTCGATAACGTCAAGCAGTCCGCGCGACTTGTTCATTACGCAGCATTCTCCAGCTTCCGGTAGAGCCTCACGTGACTAGAATTGATGAATTATTTTTCGGGGCATCAAATTAAATTCTAACCATTTTCCAGTTGTATTATACCAGCTATCGCAGCTAATATGAAGAAAGCAAGAATGTCCATATGAACACCACTTCCGGTGTTTCTCGTAAAGGCCTGCACTTTTTTGCTCTCTGCAATGTGAAGAAAGAAAGTGACACTTTTAAGAAAGAAAAACCAATCCTTATATATTACAAAAAATATCACTCAAACATTTCATAAAATATTTACAAACCTGCTTCAAACTTCCTTCCACAGTATTAACTTGAATTAACAACTATCACTATTTAGACAAATGATTAGAAAATACTTTTAATCTTTCACATCGAGGGTACTTGACTATTAAAATAAGCGGAAAGCATTTCGATTTGGAATCGTACTAAGAGGAGATGGAAGGAAGAGATCACGTGACAATGTTCCAGGGACCTCGTGAAGGGAACGTGCAGATTCTGATGGCATATTAGAAAGCTTCCCTCTACAGGGACCACAGGGGGAGGTTTTGGGGGTCAAGGACTATTTATTTGATTTTTCACGATTTGTCTGAAAGTATTTGAATTGGGTCCTCGAGTGATAAAGCATGTATTTATTATTTGATAACAAACATCTCCCATGTAACGTAACAACAGCTAAAATCACTCATATCTTGAATAACTGTCAATTTGGTCGGCCTAAATTAGCTTTAAACGTAAATAATACAATAAAAATATTTAAAGTTCGCGCAATGTACACAACTTTTAGGGTCTGAAAAGAACTCGGCGTGTAAGAGTACGTAAGGGCTTCCGTACGCGTCTTGAGCATACATTACGAATTGAAAAAAAAAATATTATAGCATTGTTACCTCGGTAGGACCTTATCGGTCAACAAAGTCACTCTAATGTGCAGCGTTATTGATGGTTTTGAAATCAGTATGCTAACAATGACTGAGTACTTACAACAAAGTGTGTTTATAGAATTGAAGTCAATGAATGAACTGTTTACTTACCATCATCCCTCCTCTTCTGATTTTTCTTTGCTGCAAAAAATAAATCAGAAATTTTAATATCCGCCCCGGACAAACTAAAGTATGTAAAAACATTACAGCACAGTTATTGCTTTTTCCAAGTTTGGTAACGAGTAGAATTGATGCTAAAACGTATTGAATCGGGTGCCATTTTCGGCGATCTATACAAAATCTTATGGATTTTTTTATGAGAGTGTTTTTCAAGAATTCTTTATAATGATAATTTATGTGATATTATAAATGGACTCACTGTTGAGGATCATGACCTCTGCGCTGATAGTGGGCATTATTGTGTTAGGGTCAGTATAGGTGGTGCTTCTACAAATATAACGTCCCTGATCTCCCATCTCCGTTCTGTGTATAATCAGGGCACTCAACAATGAATACGGGTGTTCCTCCTGAATACGCTTTGTTACGACGATTCTCCCCCTCCAATGAGGGTCCCGATTGGTCACGAGGTTTCCTTCAAAAAACCAATCGATTGCGTCCGGGGGACCATGTGACCCAGTAGAGTTGCATGTCAGCGTTAAGGGATCGTATAAATTGACGATTTTATTGTCCTTAACGCCAACCATTTCTATTGCTTAAAAATCAATCAAATATTGTACTATTAAATATAACAAAGAAAAATAAATAAAAAGAGAAAAAAAAGTCTCCAATTAAACAATATGCTTTACATGATCCAGCAAGCAATGAAATCATTACTGAATTTCTATGGAATTATGTCATTGGAGTAGTCCCAAAATATATCCAAACATGGGGCATATTATTATATCGCATTCTAAAGAGCAACAAAGCTAATTTGAATTATGAGACGAATCAATAAAATAGTGTAGAATTCCTAGAAACTGATATTTCTAAAATTGTGTGGAATGTTTCGCATTACGAGGTGGTATTGATATTCGCACAAGAGAATGTTTAAATAATTTAGAGACTTGCAGGACGATTTTCTGTTTTTGGTCTAGTGTGTTGTGATAAAATTGGTCATAAATTACAATGACTTTATACTTATCCATCAAATTTATTCATAATTGATGTATCCATTCAAATGAAATATAATTGGAAACAGCTGACTGAAAGATAAATAATGGTCAAGATGTCTATTTCAGGAAAAGTTTCGTCTAGACTGTGTTCAGATAATGACGGATGAAATTTTATTTAAATTTAAAGTCTCGCCCTCGTGCAATATACTATCCATCCTAAATGTTTGGAGTACAATCATCCGCTACGACGAGCAAATGAGTTTATTTCAGGGAATTTAAAAGATATCAAATTCATAAGTGCGTTATACCTTTAATTGGCAAGGTTCTTTCCGACAGAATTGAAACATTACTTATAATAAGTTACACTAAGATCATAAAAACGTAATAAATTTTAAATTAATAGATCCAATATAAATTTGTCATTCGACTGATCAAAGCATTTGTTTTTTAAAGATATCAATCTTTTATCCCCCTTTGCACTGTACTTTTTTGTGGAAAGCTATATTTTTAATGTGTTTTAACAGAAATCTACTTACAGGGTTCAAGAATGAGAGGAGAATCTGTAATAAATAAAACACATAGATTAAACAAGGTAAAATGTGCAGCGAATTAACATGATAAAGTCAACCGCACCGCGGGATCAAAGAAGCGAGGTAAAAGTATGGGATCAGATAGTGTTAAAAAGAATTGCATTACACAAATTCCAGTAAAAACAAACTTTCAGAAGTCTTCTCTCTCAAACCTTTAGCTGAAGACTATTAATACCATATTATTAAGGTAAAAATAGATTTCAGTGAGTAGGATAAAATCATTCTATTACCATTTGGGCAGAAGTTATTTTTGAATGACGTATTTTATTATTGATTTCTAAATATAGCTCCTTTCTTACCTAACACATGCAGGTGAACGTCAAAACTAAGTGGTATCTTGGATGTCACCTGGCATTCGTACACACCGGAATCGGACGGCTGCGCATGCTCGATGACTAGGTTCCAGGATTGGGACGATTTGGAATGTTTCTCGTATTTCACTCTAATATTCTTTTTATCTGGATCAAAAATTTCAGTGTCTATGGCAAGGGGAAATGAATTGGGTTTTTTCACCCAAGCCACCTGCCAAAAGAACAAGAGGTCATTGTTAAATTAAGATTTTCTGGTCATAATTCCATCTTAATCAAGGCACCGTTTAAGATTTGTTTATCCAAATGTACATGAATGTTACAGCCGTGTCCCTGTACTAGTTTACTTTTTCTTCTTTTAAAAATAATTTTAAAGTGATTTTCAAAAATCTCAAACTCTGTAATGCGAGAAACTAATTTATTTAAAACAATCAGACAGAGAGTTTTACTACAGCTATCATAAGTTACTGAATTTTTCATCACCAACAGTGAATTTAGTGGCTCGGTCACAATTTGGACCCTTTTGATTTTCGTCGTTCTCATATATATTGCATTTCATCGCCTAAAAATGACTGATACAAATATTTTTAAATAGATGTTTTTTTTTTTTTTTTGGCAAATGCATATGCATGCATTGTAATAAAAAAATCCATTCTAGGGATATAGAATTCCATAGAATCAAAGCAAAAGTGCGGACATTATATCATGTTGTAAAATTTACTAGGTTTTGGATAAATGTAAAATTTACAACACTATTCCGGGTATTTAGATGTTTAGGATATCTGTTTTGAATAAGAAGAACCTGAGGTTTTTAACTGTGATTTTAAACGCTAACAGATATAAAATACATTTCTCTTCCACCATAACCAAGAAAGACTGTTTTCTTCTCCATCTTCACGGACAGTTAAAGATTCATCCGTAATTTCAACTGATCCATTACATTTCAGTTTACTATATTACGTTCAATATTTCGTTAGACAACTGCGGAACTCATTAAGGGGGCAGTTCCCCGGAGTTAAGTTATATAAATTGTACATTGTGATATTCCAGAATGACGTCCATCGAAAGCAATACCGACATGCTCCTTGTCTGATTACTGACGCAAATTTGAAATATGTAAATAATCATAATCAGTATGTCATAAATTTCATTTATAAGAGCTTGCAATCTCTAAATAACGAGTTTTGCCAAGCACGGTATATTATTCTTTCCTCCAAAGATATCCTCTGATCTGCTTAGATTTCGTTCACAATCCAAGATTTACACACATACACTAGACTTTTGTATATCGCTTTACATGTTTCGTCCCTTGGTGATTTGTATCTACAGCAATTTTATTGCACAGTTACTGAAATATTTAAAACCTTTAACGTATCAGCAACGCAATACAGAAGAAAAATTTACGTGCCCCTTGAAATGACAGAATTCAGTCGAGACATATTTGTTTGCAGTATAAATGTACTAAAACCTTACACCCACGCCAGTTCTGTGTCTGACCAAGAGGAAACGAAAAAAAATGAACTTTTATTAAAGTTGAATAGTTGCATAAAAACGGTGTTGACCCAGAAGGGTTATTGGAAAACAAGCCATTTACCATATTGAGACTGACGTCCCACTGTCGCGTATAGAATATAGCCTCAGTCCGTATGTTCTTCATTTTTTTATTTATACAATACATAAATTAGGATCTTCTCTATATGATCATTTTTTAATCGATTTTTGAAATCGGTTTTCTTACATCGAGAGACTTACATAGTGAAAATTTGCTAATTCCCTGTTCGTTAGTCTATCAATACAAAGAGGATTGATATATACCAGTAGAAATTTCCTTATTTGCCAATATTTTGTTTCTACACACACTCTCTCCGGGTGTAATACGACAGTGTTGAACCCCTTTGTTGGTCTGTCAGTCCGTCTGAAGTATTGACGTATCTCAATCTCTCACCTGTTTAGGCCCGATGTTTTCTATTTTGCACGCTAACTCTGCATTTTGATCTCGATGAACTGTGACGTTGTAACCTTGACCCGTGTCCAAAAATCTTGGAGTGTCTGTGTAATGGTAGGTTGGACTACTTAAAACTACAAAAGTTTTAAAATTATTTTTTAATTGAAATAAGCATGTGTCTTTCTTTGAGTTATAAAAACAAAACAAAGAAATTCACAAGGCCCCTTTTTAAAATAAAAATATTAGTTTGCTAAAAGGATATATCAACTATTTAGTTAATAAAACAAGACGCATCAATATAAAATTCACTTTCTGTTTATAGCATGTAATTTCAAATATCGTCATCACTATATTCAAAGACCTGTTTTCCTAACCACTGTGTATGAAGAACAGCACCTTAAAATTTAATTAAATATACGTATCGTTATTCGAATACATTTAAGGAATTTTAAAAGAGGAATACATATTTTCATTTGAATTTAAAGATTTAACTTCCTTCACCAATACGAATATTATTTCAAAACAGTGTTAAACTATGCAATTTCTGAATTATAAAAGCCTTGCCTCGATTTTCCCCCTTTTAAAATCGTGTCTTTGTGCTTTTGTTAACATGCATAATTTTGTTCCGTGCGGGCGTAGAGTCAACATGTTGAAAAATGTCACAATTGCCAATTAAAAAACAATAAACTGGGCTGTATTTGTGAAGATGAAAATCATGTCTAAAGGATAAAGCATGTAATGATATGCAGGCAAGATATTAAAATAACACAGTTTGACAGAAATTTTCAATCATGTATCTCATTGAAAATCATTAAGACAGTTTAACAAAGGGCTTTAACATTAAAATTTCCCCTCATTTACAAATATCTATATAGAATTTATCTTGTCTTAATTAATGTATTTCTGGATAAAGAGCGTTAGAAATCGCCACAAGCCAAATATTACAGTGGTTTACTTTGTATTGATTCAGAATTAAATTAACTTCAACTGACAGCAGTTCATGTACTTCTACTTATTCCAGATTTTGTCTGACAAAAGGAATGGAATGTATAATGTCCCTTTAATATGACCGACTACAACTAAGACATATAGTTAGTCAAATTTAATATTTCATGTTTCCGATCTATCGGGGTTCGCGATTCAAATGCACACCAAAACCTGTACTGAAAATAAAGCTCCCTTTTTTCCCAACTTCGTAGGAACATCAGCTTCTGGAGACAAAACGAACACACAATTTTCATCAATCGGTTATCGGAGAAAAAAAAAGAAGAAAGAATCAGATTTGGAGTGGCTTATCTGACCTTAAAAATGCACTTGATTTATATAAAACGATTTAAAGGAGCCTTGTTCAAATATGTAAAAGTCTCGGTTAACATATTTTCAAATCTTCATTACATTAAACAGAACATTATATATTACGAAAACATCAAAATATGCATGGAGGATGCAGAAATCAAGCGATAATAGCTCGTTATGATTCCTGGTATTCCAATAAAAAACTTCTAAGTCAAATAAGATGAATCATCGGATAAAACTTAAAAAGAAAATATAAACAATGCATTAAGCAAGTGCATTTGTTCGATCTAAAAAAATCAGTTGACAAACTAACTCGAAAGTTACAAAAAACTTATTGTATATCTGGTGTTATTTATTATATGTTCGCTATCCCTTTCTTGACTCGGAGGCTGATGGAGCTAAATATGATAAAAACATAAAAAAAATTAAGCGTTTCCTTAGATAGTCACGCTCATTAGGTTAGGTTTCCGGGCCCAATCTCAATAAAATCTGGAATTGTCAACATATGACAATGTGGCGGTCTGATGTGTTGATTCAGTAGTCGCCAAGGACCAGGGCTATATTGACTTTCTGTGTTCCGGGATTAACTGAAGTAATGGAACCAAACATTTCCAATGCTGACCTTATGGACATAGAAGTCATCTCTGCATGAAATGATAACGAGACAGGAACTTTGAACTAAACCTTTAGAGTTAAATTTAATATTAATAAATGAACTAGTGTCATTATCATTCGAGTCAAATACAAGAAATATATTTCGTGTGAAAAACGCTTAACCAAGAAGTCTGAAGAATCCCAGAATCTATAAACGAGGGCACATTCCAGCAAAAATTCCGGAAGTCGGGAAAGGGGCGTGTTCATGATGTCGACTGTCAAAGAAGGCAGTATAAAGAGGAGAATACAATACATGTGTCTTGGGTTTGTATAAACAGAAAGTAACATTAAGATATCAGCCTTTATCAAAAAATTTGGGTTCCACACGTGGTTGTATGAGAAGAATTAAAGACATAATGCGAAGTTCATATAGTTCTAATCAAAACCAAGGGAATATGATTAAACAGATTTTTGGCAAGCACTAGAACAAAAGAATTCCTGCTTAATTCCCTGTCATGCACAGAGTTCTAGCCTAATAGAAGATACTGACAGAGCACGAATGTCCAAAATTCATTGAATGATGCCGATTTCCACACATCATTCAGAAATCTCGCCTTGATCTCATTTCTCTTTTCGCTCCAGCATTTATTACTAAATCTTTCATCACAAACTCTGATCTGTCTATACTGTAAAAACTAATGCTGTCTAAAACTCACTGGGAGGTCAAGCAAATCGCTCACATGAAAATCCATAGTCAATTCCTTCCAAAAAATAAAATGCTTGACAAATCCATGAAAACTTATAGTTTAGTAAAGAGAAAATGATTTTTTTCCCCCTCTCTCCTTTCTTTGAAGAATGAGCAATTACAGATTTAACAACCTAAATTTTCCAACGATTTGAATATTTGATCCCCAGAACACGCTTGGGAAAAACTTATTGTACATTAACACTTCTTAGTGCAAATTTTTGTCAGTTTAAATTTCTCTTATTTGAATAAATATTTACATTCCAGTGTGATTCCACCGCGAAATCTCTCGGCGGGATTAAAAACATCTTGTATGATAAAAGTGATAGTTTAATTAAATTAAGCATGCATCATCTTACCTCCTAAGTTTAGTACAGCAATCATTGAATAAATATATTTCCATTTTTCCAATGTACATATCATTTTAATAAATCTTTTCTGCCGAATTCACAACGGTAAAAATCAGCTTTAGCGGAGTAAAAACAAAACATGTTCACAACACAAATATCACGATTTAAAGGCGGGTTTCATCCACCTGAAATTAAAGAAAAAAGTAAAATAAGCTCAGATAACATCAAACACAGCTAAATATGTATTTATAATTCTTCAAGGGGCCGATAAACAAGGAGCCGGGTTATATGAGAAGACGTGTTTAATCTACTTAAGGACCCGTGTGTTTACAGAGAAAACCCGTGTTTGGACTATGCTGTATCATAAATCATACCCCCAAAGTAAAAGAAATCTCTCAGGGACCTGTTGATCGGGTGTTATGTATCTCAAATCGAACTCAAAAATAGGAAAACCGGATCACAATGTAACCATTTTTAGAGAAAAGGAGCGTTTGGAGCCACTAGGGGGGCGATATGTCCCCTTTACTATAAACTCTTACAGAGGACAAGTGTCCACTTAAAGAGCAAAAGTAAATTAATACCTAATTAAACCTTCTAATAATTTCAGAATGAATGAATACTTCAGACATCAGGACACCAAATTAATCCCAAACACGTGACCATGGTAAAAGATCGAATTTTTAGATTAAAATAAAAAAAGCAGAAAAAAGGCACTTACCTATCAAACATCGGACCCAGTCCGCTAAAGAGGCTCCTGGATATTCCGTTTTTAGAACACAAAATGTTAGTAACTTAGCTTGTTCCGTGCACAAGAAGATTGAATTATACAGTCCTGTTTCGTGTTGATTCACAAGATACAATTTAAACTGTGCGGGAACGTTTTAATGATTCAAGTATGACTCGCAATAGGGGCGTTCTTAACGGCATGTCAATCTGGCAAAATATATTCACATTACATCGATTGTCGGAACAACTGGGTTATATGTATAAATATCTCAAATAGACTTCTAATATGACAGTAAAAACAGTCACAGACCTTTTTTCACAGATGTGTGAATTCAATTTAACAAAGCAAGAAATATTTAATCGTTTTACAATCTTTTTACCCCAGCTGCCAAATTATTATAACCATGCACTTGTGTGTATTGTTGGTAATAGGATTAAAGCATTTTATACGAACTGTTTGTTTGTATTGCCTACTAATAACTGGACGGGTTGTTTTTAATCACAACAACTATATTAATTAACAATAACTTTGATCTGGAAGGCGAGTAGTTACTTTGGCGTAGGAAGAAAGCGGAATTAAGGGGCTAAATAAACGAATATCATTTTGAAAGGTTGTGTGAAGAGACATTTTGGTATTTCTGGAGGCTTGCATTCATTTTGAGAAATAATTGATATCGAGGATCTATCTCAAAGAAAAAAAAAGAAGCAAAACACTAGGTTTAACCCTGTACACATTCTTCGCTAATCTTACACAAAAAATAAAACGCTATTTCCCCATTAGTTGGTCCCAAAATCCACACTAAAACTGCTTACAATGTCAGAAACTTTTCAAAATTGTTTTTTCCCGATTCTGCCTGGATCATTCAGCGAATTGAGACATACAAATCATTTATTGTTCTGATAGCGAAACATCTGATCAACAGAGTTCCTTACCTTGTTTTAAAGTGTTTTATCGATCAGAATTTTTCTCCTTTAATAACTTTTTGTGCTAGTTTACTTTTTACGCAATTCTGTCACTAAATTGTGTTATCTTGCAAGCAGAAAAATAAAAAGGGTCTTTTTGACATGTGGTCATTTTAACGACGAAAATAGCTTCACACCAATTGTTTGAAACCCATGTTCTCAAATCTCTACATATTGAACGTCGCCTAACGTACTTAACTGATCATGTTTATTGATAACGTTGGGAAAATTAAATTTTACTACGTCTTGATCACTTTTAAAAGTCACCAAGTACATGTATAATAGCGGCTGTTGTCCTATACAGTGGTGACAACACTTCCTAAACGAAAAGCGCTAGAATATTTGAACAACACTCCTAAATATTCACAAATTATTAAGATAAGTTAATCCCCACGACAGAGTTCTTAACCGAAGACAAACTACCCAATGTTCAGGAAAATTAGAACACTATATAATTACCAAGTATTACCATTTTATTGTTTACCTATCAGACAATCATTACTTATACTGTTCATACACCAGAAATCTACAATATCTTAATGTTCACGTATCAGACAGCCATTCCTATACTGTTCACACACCAGAACACCACCACAATCAGACAACCACTCCTTCACTGTTCACACACCAGAACACCACCATATTTCAGACAACCACTCCTTCACCGTTCACACACCAGAACACCACCATATATCAGACAACCACTACTTCTACTGTTCACACACCAGAACACCACCATGTATCAGACAACCACTCCTTTACTGTTCACACACCAGAAAACCACCACATATAAGACAAGCACTTTTACTGTTCACACACCAGAACACCACCATATATTAGACAACTACTCCTTCACACACCAGAACACCACCATATATCAGACAACCACTGCTTTACTGTTCACACACCAGAACACCACCATATATCAGACAACCATTCCTGTACTGTTCACACACCGGAACACCACCATATATCAGACAACCACTCCTGTACTGTTCACAAACCAGAAAACCACCATATATAAGACAAGCACCTTTACTGTTCACATATCAGAACACAACCATATATCAGACAACCACTGCTTTACTTATTACACACCAGAACACCACTATATATCAGACAACTACTCCTTTACTGTTCACAGACCAGAACACCACCATGTATCAGACAACCACTCCTTTACTGTTCACACACAAGGACACCACTATATATCAGACAAGCACTCCTTTACTGTTCACACACCAGAACACCACCATATATCAGACAACCACTCCTTCACCGTTCACACACCAGAACACCACCATATATCAGACAACCACTCCTTTACTGTTCACACACCAGAACACCACTATATATCAGACAACTACTCCTGTACTGTTCACACACCGGAAAACCACCATATATTAGACAACCACTCCTGTACTGTTCACACACCAGAACACCACTATATATCAGACAACCACTCCTTCACCGTTCACACACCGGAAAACCACCATATATCAGACAACCACTCCTGTACTGTTAACAAACCAGAAAACCACCATATATCAGACAACCACTCCTTTACTGTTCACACACCAGAACACCACCATATATCAGACAACCATTCCTGTACTGTTCACACATCGGAAACCACCATATATCAGACAACCACTCCTGCACTGTTCACACACCAGAACACCACCATATATCAGACAACCACTCCTGCACTGTTCACACACCAGAACACCACCATATATCAGAGACAACCACTCCTTTACTTTTCACACACCAGAAAACCACCATATATCAGACAACCATTCCTGTACTGTTCACACATCGGAAAACCACCATATTTCAGACAACCACTCCTTTACTGTTCACACACAAGGACACCATTATATATCAAACAAGCACTCCTTTACTGTTCACACACCAGAACACCACCATATATCAGATAACCACTCCTTTACTGTTCACACATCAGAAAACTTCCATATATAAGACAAGCACCTTTACTGTTCACACACCAGAACACCACCATCTTAGTGTTAAGATATCAGAAAACCACTATACTTAACTGTTCACAAACCAGGCCACAACTATCTAGTTAATGTATAGTTTAATTTATGAACATTTATTAATTCAAGTGTCTCATTCACAAAGGAAATCAAGAAATTTAAAGCCATCTAGTGCATTTTCCTAAATTTATTGCACACGAATGTTGTACATTTTCATTTAAAATAACAATTTACTTTAAGGAATAGAAATGTAAATATTTATACAATATGACTGATTAGCTCATCATTGGTTATAGGTTCCATATATTGTAGTACTTTTTATTTGTTTATGCTTCATTCCTGAACTCTTCAAAGAGGTATCTTGAAAAATTGTTCCAAAGCCATTCCTCAAACTTCGCCACTTACTTTCTTGCTTAATATTAAACTCTCATTAACTAAAATAATATTTATAGAAGAATTCACCCCCATCAATCTATTCTCTTTGTTTGAATTTGTTATTCTCTCATTTTTTTTTCAACTTGATTCGATATCCGGATCGTCGAAGGACATCTTACAACATCAGCAGCTGATCTTTTAAGTCTCTAAAATTCTTCACACAGCCATATTTACAAATGACCTTGCTATTTTTGATATATCACAGCGATGTCGACAGTCCTTCTTATCATGCAGACATGATTTCAAACAGATTAATTAATTCTTTTTACGGTCATAAAATTATAATAAATATGTGGGTCACGTCCATTTTGTTATTTTCGCCAGTAGTATTGACAGGTCGACAATAGTCGGACTAGAATACAGGTTTCGTTATTCTTTTTAAAAGTACTTATATATATTTGAGTCATAAAGAATATTTAATGTTACATTCATTAAGTTTTATGATTCTATATATGTGCAAAAGTTCTGTTTATAAATAGTAATTTAACCGATCCTAAGCTGTTAACGTGACTATGTAGATGGAGGTCGGTGCATGCATTGCATTACTGGAATTTCTGCATATCTTATCATACGTTGTATTATTTAACAGTTTTGTTTGACCTACACATTAATATTGTTAATTAAAATATCACAAACATTGACGACACATAGAGTTCAAATTGGTTAGTTTAAAATGAAGGAGCTTCATGTAGACAGCTTTAAAAGTATAATCTTTGAGGACGACAAGAGGAAATCTTTTGATCCACGTGTACTCAATTGAAATGTACACAAGTTTATTAAAAAGGCAAACCTTGCCGCTATTACCCAGAGTGAAGAAAACAGAGAGTAATTTAATGCCATTATGTGCCGCCTAATTCGTAGTTTATATTCAGATATATTTACATTCGTTCTTAATGGTCATTTACCGATTGTTCATCCAAAAAGCTTTCAGACGCGTTTACAATAGGAGTGTTTTTGATATTCATATGACATGCTTCCTATTCACCAGGGGTAAAAAGGACCATCTTCAGTTCGTGGTGGTCTACAATATGGCTTACTAGATTAAATTTTATCTCCATGGCAACATTATCTCTTAAGAATTGGTGACCACGGGTGCCAAACGAGGACCGTCGTATATAATTCACTAAGACTCTATAAAACCAGGAGCAATGTAAAATGCTCTAAAATATTGAATACCTGATTAGGAAAATTAAATCAATTTACCCAAATTCATCCTTAAATAGCTAAATTTAGCACCCTTCCCCTGATCCCGACTTTGATGACTATTTCACAGTTCCCTGGGTCTTTTGGGCATTGTCGAACCTGTTCATCACGTCTTTGAAGTTATGCTGCCCTAATGACAATCCCAACCCAACTGGGGTGATATATAAGGGGTCAATCAAGCTAAATCGATATACATCTGCTTTATGGTTGACAAAATTCTTGTCGTTATTGTTGTTGTTCACTCTGAGCCTAATCGATATTTGAATAGATTGTTTGATAACCTTACGCAGCATAAGCCGTTTAGCTTCTCAATTCATTACACGATCAGTATATCTAGATTGAGACTTTGATATTAGATTTTACACTTCGCCACTACATTAGTTAAAAACCGGGACAGATATTTCTACTGAGAATGTCTTTTATTCTCACGTTTAATTATCACTAGCAATTAAATAAAAAAAATATCAGGGTTTAGATCTACTTTTTTACCTAACCTTATCATTTTATAAATATTTTAGAAATT